ACGGCTGAAAAAGTTTGCTGACCCCTGATCTGGAGGGTACCACATTGTCTCCTCCTGATTTTAATGCCCCGCTTATGTCTTGATCGGCCTTTCCCCTGGAAGTCTCTGTTGGCGCCACCCATAAACCTAACGCATTCCGGGAGAAAGGGCAGAGGCAGGAATCAAGCTATTGCTTGTGCGTCCATCGGTGTGAGCAAATGCTTTCAGCTGGAAGGATTTTACAGCCTGCTTGTAAATTTAAGAGGCTTTTGAAGCCAGGGAGACACTTTAAATTGTCTGTGCAGGTATTAAAAACGGCTGGCACGCTGGCCTGGTTTTTTTCCCCTTTAAAGGCTGGTTGTTAAAATGAGAAAGGGGCTTGCCAGCTTTGGCACTGGACGGCATTTGTGTCTCTGAGGATCTTTTGATGGATCTTGTTGCTCTCTTCCAGGGGTGGTTGCATCCAGACGGCAGTCCAGGGCTAAGCAGGAGGAGCACAGCCAGACTCGAGGCCAGAGCTAGAATTCTGGTTCCAGGCAGGACCATGGACAGCTCCAACAGGACCATGGACAGCTCCAATAGGGCACTGGAGACTCACACACCACCAGGCTCAAACATTGCTTCAGCTGGAGAATAAATGTTCAGTTAACACAACGCTGGTGGGATTTAAAGAGGCTCTGTAAAGAACTAACAGGTATTGTTTAAACGAAGGAACTTATAAAAATAGCACGAATGGCAATAGGAAGAGATGGAATGCGACTCTAAGATCTGACTACGAATGAATGTCAACGACGTTGAAGGAAGTCCAAAATGTACGAGAAATGTTGAAATTTGGATTTGTTGTATATATGATGGAATTCAATAAAATTTTAAAATGCAAAAAAAAAAAAACCAAACAAACATTGCTTCAGCTGCAAGGAAATGTCTAGCCTGCAGCTCGCTTGCAGGGTGTGTGTGTGTGTGTTCTGGTGAGCTCTGCCGCTGTTAGAAATAGAAACTGCTGGTCGCTGTCTCACATGGTGACCTGTGTAACTGTAGCCATTGGGAGAAGAACCTTCTAGATCTAATCTGGCTCCACCCTCCTAGCCTGGCCATTGGCTCCTCCCGGGCAGGAAGGTGTATATATAAGGACTTCCTCTTCCAGCCAAGCCTCATTTGAGCACTAGAGTCTACCTGAGGTTCTTTTTATTTGGACAGGTGTTTTTAAAGAGATCCTTCTTGCCGCCAGCAGCTTATTTGATTCTGCTTGTTAACCACGAGTAAAGCGACTAAATAACGACGATACGTAGGAACGCAACCTAGACCATTTGCTGGCATGAGGGACACACTCAGCTTTAAAGACTGGCAATTATTGTTTCAAAAACGGCATGCGTTTCGATATAAGCAGATAAGGATGGTTAGTAATCCTCCTTCAGCCCCCTGCCTTTAAAAAGTCGTTGTTAATTTCTTTGAGTGGTGTCAATTTGGTCGCTGGGATTCTCTCCCCCCCCCACTCCCCTGAACAGCGAATGCAGGAAGGATTTGACCTTGGGCAAAGCGGGGGCGAAGCAGCAGTTGTCTAATCTTCCAGCTTTGCTGTCTCTAACCCATTTTGGGTCAGCAAGCCTCAAAAAGGATTTATTTCCCATCAGCTTATTGGGTAGAGCAGGGTTGGGGAGTTGCAGGCCCGGGAATCAAAATACATCCTGGCAGCCTCTCTTCCCAGCCTTCAGACCTCTCCCTAAACACCTTCTCCCTTCCCACAGCCCTTCTCCCCAGACCATGACCCACACCAGCCCTGCTTCATGCCCCCTTTGAATGTTTCTATCTGGCTGGGAAGACCCTGATGTTGGGAAAGATGGAGGGCACAAGGAGAAGGGGACGACAGAGGACGAGAAGGTTGGACAGTGTTCTCAAAGCTACCAGCATGAGTTTGACCAAACTGCGGGAGGCAGTGGAAGACAGGAGTGCCTGGCGTGCTCTGGTCCATGGGGTCACGAAGAGTCGGACACGACTAAATGACTAAACAACAACAACAACATCTGGCTGGGAATGTATTCTTGAACTCTGATGACGCCTCTTCCTTGTCTGAATGAAACACACAGAGGAGTATGTCAATAAAAACTTTGTTGTTGCTATATTTATTAAATTTATATACCACTTTTCATCCTAAACCTAAAAATGCAAGCTAAAAACACAAAATACATAATATATTCTGATTACTTTGAATGGATGTTTTGTTTTAATATTCATTGCTTTATCATTTATTATTTAACACTCTACTGTTTTCACTGGGAAGCTACCTTGTTTTAGCAGCTGCAAGTGCATGGCATAATGTAATAAGCAAATTACAACCGCTTCTCTAAACTAAAGGTATACAGTGGTACCTCTGGTTACGTACTTAATTCGTTCTGGAGGTCCGTTCGTAACCTGAAACTGTTCTTAACCTGAAACACCACTTTACTAATGGGGCCTCCTGCTGCTGCCGCGCCGCCAGAGCATGATTTCTGTTCTCATCCTGAAGCAAAGTTCTTAACCCAAGGTACTATTTCTGGGTTAGTGGAGTCTGTAACCTGAGAGCTTCCTGCACTCCATCGGAAGCTGTGGAAGTCATGCCGGATGTTTGGCTTCCAAAGAATGTTCGCAAACTCACTTCCAGGTTTGTGGCGTTCGGGAGCCAAAACGTTTGAGTCACAAGGCATTAGGGATCCAAGGCTGTATAGTGTCCTAATTGAGGGAAGCAATAGTACCACTTGATTCTGTCTTGGCCAGACCATACCTGGAATACTGTGTCCAGTTCTGGGCACCAGAGTTTAAGAAGGATATTGACAAATTTGAACATGTGCAGAGGATGGTTTCCAGGAGGATCAAGGGTCTGGAAACCAAGCCTTATGAGGAACGGTTGAGGGAGCTCAGTATGTTCAGGCTAGAGAAGAGAGGAGATCTGATAGCCACCTTCAAATGTCTAAAGGGCTATCCCATGGAAGATGGAGCAAGTTTCCCCACCTGCTGCTCCAAAGGGCAGAACCCAAACCAATGGATTCCAATTACAAGGCAGGCGATTCCGACTAAACATTAGAAAGAACTTTTGGACAGTAAGAGCTGTTCGACAGAGAGACGGACTCCCTCGGAAGATGGTGTGCTCCCTTTCATCAGAGGTTTTTAAATGGAGGTTGGATGGCCAGTGATTCTTTCACTGTGACTCCTGCATCGCAAGGGGGGTTGGGCTAGATGACCTTTGGGAGTCCCAACTCTACAATTCTGTGATTCTGTGACCCATCTGAGCTCCATATTTGTTTGTTCTAATATTTCTAGAGAGGGACGGAGACCAGCCTTGCGTGAAAGATTGCAACTGACAGAGAGCTGAGGCAGCCATGTGTTCTGAGACATGCGCCCGAGGTGACTGCAGTTATGTAAGGGCTTCCTTGGCACGGCCCATTGCATCAAATAATAATAATGCTTAAGTTAAATGTGATACAGACGAAGAAGTTTGGGAGCGGGGAGGAAGCAAAGTATAGTTCAGCTTAAAGGGAAGGGAAGGGAGCTCTACAAACAGAGTGCTACAGAAATAACTCAGCTATCACTATTGAGTGGGACGCGGGTGGCGCTGTGTTCTAAACCACTGAGCCTTGGGCTTGCTGATCAGAAGGTTGGTGGTTTGAACCTTCGATCCCCGCAATGGGTAAGCTCCCGTTGCTCGGTCCCAGCTCTTGCCAGCCTAGCAGTTCGAAAGCACACCAGTGCAAGTAGATAAATAGGTACCGCTCAGGCGGGAAAGTAAACGGCGTTTCCGTGCGCTGCTCTGGTTTGCCAGAAGAGACTTAGTCATGCTGGCCACATGACCCGGAAGCTATACGCTGGCTCCCTCGACCAGTAAAGCAAGATGAGCACCACAACCCCAGAGTCGTCCGTGACTGGACCTAATGGTCAGGGGTCCCTTTACCTTTACATTTATCACTACTGAACATGTCGTGTTCAGTAGTTGTACATTGGTTGTACATTGCTTTCCTTGGTGGGAAGAGCAATGTTGTACATTGCTTTCCTTGGTGGGAAGATGTTCCTTCCAGAGATGGGGAATCCGCAGCCCTTCAGATGTTGCTGGACTACAACTCCCATCAGCCCCAGCGAGCATGATCAGGGACGATGAGCACTGTAGTTCAACAACATCTGGAAGGCTATTGATTTCTCACCCGTGTCCCAGAACAGGGGTGGGTGGGGCTTTCTCAGCCTGAAGTCCGTGTTCTCTTTCAAGCAACCTTCTGAGGGCCACATGACCAAGCTGGGAGGGGCCAGAGGTTAAAGAGTACAGAGCATCAATGCAAATCTTACCTTCGTCTGGCAGGCTAGTTTCTACACACCATGAACGCATCCTTCTTTGCCATCCACCTGGACCAGCAAGATGCATTGTCAAGAGTTAGTTGAGAGCCAACGTGGTGTAGTGGCTCGACTTGGACCTCGGAGACCAGGGTCCAAATCCTCAGTCAGCCATGATGCTCACTGGGTGACCTCGGGCCAGTCACTGCCTCTCAGCCTATCCTACCTCACAGGGTTGTTGTTGGGGGGAATTAAATGAGAGGGGAACTACCTTGAGCTCTTTGGAGAAAAAGGTGGGATAAAAATGCAAGAGATAAATAAATAAATAGAGTTGATGGGCATATTCCAGGCAGGGGGAAAACGTCAAAGGGGGGTGCAAAACAAGGCGAGTGGTGGGTGTGGCCTGGGGTGAGTCCTGAGGGCCAGAGAGAGAGGAATGGAGGGCCACGTTAGCCCCCACCCAGGGAAAGAGGTTCCTTGCCCCATGATACGACTTGTTTTCCATCCCCCTGACTGTCCTCACTGCCCTCTTCTGAACCCATTTTAATTTATCTACGTTCCTCTTAAAGTGTGGTGTTCAGGCATGGCGGCAGAGGTGCAAATGCGCTCTCTCCGCTGCTCAGATCTGACCTGCCCCAGATTCCAAGCAGAGCTGGTGTTTTTGTGTGTGTGTGTGTGTGTGTGTTTTGCAGAGAACTGGATTCACCTTTTGTTTTGTGTTTGCATAGCGCCATCTGGTGTCAACGAGACACTCAAGCATCAGGATGTGTTTTAGGTCAAATCCACACCAAAGATTAAAAGCACACGGCTTCCACTTGAGGATCCTGAGAACTGTCGTTTGCAGAGAGTGCTGGGAATCGTAGCTCTGCGAAAGGTAAACTCACACTTCCCAGGACAACATTTAAAAACATCAGTGGTAAAATACAGAACAATTAAAAGCAAACTAGTTGAGAGCCATAATGAAAACACACCGCAACGTATCTAAAAAGAACAATTGAGAACCTCCTGTACCTGCGGGTATAGAGTAGTATACAAATTGAATAAGTAAATAATAATAATAATAACCCTGCTAGCACACATTTGCAAAACTAAGCAGCTTCTGGTATGGTTTCAGAATGGATGGGGGACCGCGTGTTGAGATTGTATTGTTTTTAACACTCGATTGGGAGCCACCCAGAGTGGCTGGGGAAACTCAGCCAGATGGGCGGGGTATAAATAAATTATTATTATTATTATTATTATTATTATTATTATTATTATTATCCTGCATTGCAGGGGGTTGGACTAGATGACCCCTGGGATCCCTTCCAATTCTACAGTTCTATGAGTCTATGAATTAAAATGCAGTTTGCCCTGACAGCAGCCCAGCAATCATCATTGTCTGTGCCTTCATTTCCAAAGGCCTGTCTGAAGAGGAAGATCTTGTTAGCTTGCCAGTGGAAGGATAACAAAGACCTCCCTTGGGGTATGGGAGAGGTTGCAGAAGAGGCTGAATTTGCAACAATGGCAGAACTAACCTTTTCTTTATGGCGTAAAAGCAGTGAACAGGGGCAAGATACATTTGTAACAAAATGGATAAAATTTATTCAGCGCTATAGAGCTAGAAAGAACATGCTGGGAACAATTTTTTTTGCTTCACTGTATTTTGAATGTAACATTGTATACAATATAAATGCACCAGTGAAATCTCCTTGTTCTCAACATCTGTTTAAAATTCTAGTAAGAAAGCTGTGCTATTCATGTTATATTAATAAAATAATAACAATATATATATATATTAAAAATGTTTGTTCCATGCTTGCAAGAAATCGGTCTAATAATAATAATAATAATAATAATAATAATAATAATAGATTTTATTTATACCCCACCCTCCTTGACCGAGACTGGGCTCAGGGTGGCTAACACCAAATATATAATACATTAAAAACACAAAATCAAATGATTAGTTTAAAGTACAATTCGAATCACATTTAAAATCAAAATAAAATTAAGTGGGAACCCATGAATCATAACTGTAGGGGTAAGGAATTAAAAGTTCACCAGGCCCGGCCGCCCGTGCTGGTCCCATATGGGCTGATAGAAATAGCCAAAGAGACCACTTACATACAGGGTCCCATAGAAAGAAGGGGGTCAGGCAGTGCCCAGACCAAAGGCCTGGCTGAACAGCTCCATCTTGCAGGCCCTGCGGAAAGATGTACAAATCCCACAGGGCCCTGGTCTCTCGCGACAGAGCGTTCCACCAGACTGGAGCCAGGACTGAAAATGCTCTGACCCTGGTCAAGGCCAGACTAACCTCCTTGATGCCCAGGACCTCCAAAGTACAGTGGTACCTCGGGTTACACACGCTTCAGGTTACATACACTTCAGGTTACAGACTCCGCTAACGTAGAAATAGTACTTGGGTGAAGAATTTTGCTTCAGGATGAGAACAGAAATTGTGCTCCGGCGGCGCGGCAGCAGCAGGAGGCCCCATTAGCTAAAGTGGTGCTTCAGGTTAAGAACAGTTTCAGGTTAAGAATGGACCTCCAGAATGAATTAAGTACTTAACCCAAGGTACCACTGTATTATTGTTTGTGGACCGTAAGTGTGGCAGCACATATTCTTTGGAACTCCTTCATGTGGGTCTGATGAAAGCTTATTTCACTATAAAGACGTTGGCTGTTAAAGGCTGCTACAAGACCCCTCGCTATCTTTTTGCAGCAGCAGACCAATGTGGGCACCACATCTGGAAAGCGTGGCTGGCTTTTTCTGGGGTCTTGCTGGAGGATAGAAGACACTAGATGGCACTACGGACCTAAAATGGGCTGTGAAGCTGGCTGCCTGTTGGAGAGAAGTTCTAGCTCATCCTTCTCAGAAGCGAAACTTGTTGGAGACCCTCTTTGTCGGTTCTGTGCAGGTGCCCTCTGTTCTCCACCATGCCATCCGTAGGCATGGCAAGCCAGTTTGGCAGCTTCCATCTGTTCAATTATCGGCTGTGGGGAAGCGATGGGGGAGAAGTTTGATCCAGCTCACATTTAAAGGAGAACCTACCTAAGGCATGGGACGCAGGTGGTGCTGTGGGTTATACCACAGAGCCTAGGACTTGCCGATCAGAAGGTCAGCGGTTCGAATCCCCATGACGGGGTGGGCTCCCATTGCTCGGTCCCTGCTCCTGCCAACCTAGCAGTTCGAAAGCATATCAATGTGCAAGTAGATAAATAGGTACCACTCCGGCGGGAAGGTAAACGGCGTTTAGGTGCACTGCTCTGGTTCACCAGAAGCGGCTTAGTCATGCTGGCCACATGACCGGGAAGCTGTATGCCAGGTCCCTCGGCCAATAAAGCGAGTAATTTGCCCTAGGATCTTCTGGAAAGAGCAGGTATCAAATATAATTGTCATCAGGGCTTTTCTTCAGGGGGAACTCAGTTCCGGCACCTCTCAGGTGGGGACATTTCCATTCTAGAAGAGGGAGTAGGTGTTCATGGTGAGTTCTGGTACCTCTTTTTCCTAGAAAATAGCACCGATTGTTGGGATCATCATCCTCAATTGCAACACCCTCAGATCTCCTGATGTTGTTGGACTACAACTCCCATCGCCCATTACCATGGGCTAAGGAGGCTGGGGATGATGTAAGCTGTAGTCCGGCAACATCTGGTTGAAGAACGCTGGGTCACACAAATGGAGGATTTCTGCCCTTGTTGATAATGAAATGACACGTGGCTTCTGCTGGTTTAGCTCCACAACAAGGAGGATAAACAAAGTTAGATAGACAGTAGGCTGCCTTGAAATCACTGCTTCTCACAATGCCGGTAATTTGGCAAGCAGGCTGAGTGACAGAGTCCTGAGCAGCAACCTGCGGAGGAATCATCATGCTGGTTTGTTGTGCTAATGAGGGGCGGAGGAGACATGAATGACAGCAGGTGCTCAGCTCCTGGGTCTCTTTGCACTTGGCTGATTCATTCCCGATTGTAGAATCCTTCCTACAGGTGGTTGCGAATATAGAAAAGGCTGTGCCAGGAGGCAAAAGAGACATGATTGGAACTCTCAAAGGAGGTGGCTTAGCTGGTTGCAAACAGAGAGAGGCAAATGCGCAGGTTGAATGCCGAAAAACTGCTACCCCCTGCCTTGTGGGCACCTGGTGACTGCAGAGAATTGTAGAGATGGAAGGGACCCCAAGGGTCAACAACAACAGCAACAACAACTTATTATTTATACCCCACCCATTTGGCTAAGTTTCCCCAATTACTCTGGGCGGCTCCCAATCGAGTGTTAAAACCAATACAGCATTAAATATTAAAAACTTCCCTAAACAGGGCTGCCTTCAGATGTCTTTTAAATATAAAATAGCTGCTTATTTCCTTCACATCTGAAGGGAGGATGTTCCACAGAGCGGGCGCCACTACCGAGAAGGCCCTCTCCCTGGTTCTCTGTAACCTCACTTCTCTCAATGAGGGAACCGCCAGAAGGCCCTCGGAGCTGGACCTCAGTGTCCGGGCTGAACGATGGGGGAGGAGACGCTCCTTCAGGTATACAGGACTAGCTCAACCCCCAACAATGCTAAGGGCCCCTCCATGACCACCGCTGTTTCGTGGGGGGTGGAGTCAGGTGCATCCTGGAAATTTACATTCCTGCAAAAAGAGTGGATACAAGGGCTCTGCCACCTCAGTTACAAGGGTGGGGAAGCCTTTTCAGTCCAAAGGCCGCCTTCTCTTCTGTGCCCAGATACCTGCAGTGGGCGGGGCCTGGGGCAAAAGTGGGTGGAGCAACAAATCTGACCTTTGAACAGCAGGCTGGTTCCTACCCAGATGCACAGCCCAGTCTATCCCCCACATGCAGGCAAGCAAGCAAGCAAGAGGCCATGTTGCATTTCAAGGGCCCATCCCAAGCCAGGTGGAAACATGCAAGGAAGGGACGAAGCAAGGCCAACAGGAGTTGGAACTGGGGAGGGTGTGTGACCTGAGGGCCAGACAAAGAGGCCTTGAGGGCCACATTTGGTCCCTGAGCCTGAGGTCTCCCTCTCCTGCTCTAGGGCAACTAGCCACTTAGACACACACACAAAAACCCACTGATTTTTTTGTGGTTAGAAAAATGTTCGGGAAATGAAAAGAGCGCAATAGACAAATGATTAATGATGAGACTTATGAACACCCTGCCAGTAAATCAGGATGAGTGCTTATTGTCATATAACCACTGTATAGCCACCCTGTTCCTCTGATTTGATGAGGCAACAGCAAGCATTTCCCCCCCCTTGTGAGAGCCAGTGTGGTGTAGTGGTTAAGAGCGGTGGATTTGTAATCTGGTGAACTGGGTTCGCGTCTCCGCTCCTCCACATGCAGCTGCTGGGTGACCTTGGGCCAGTCACACTTCTCTGAAGTCTCTCAGCCTCACTCACCTCACGGAGTGTTTGTTGTGGGGGAGGAAGGGAAAGGAGAACGTTAGCTGCTTTGAGACTCCTTAGGGTAGTGATAAAGAGGGATATCAAGTCCAAACTCCTCCTCCTCCTCCTCTTCCTCTTCTTCTTCTTCTTCTTCTTCTTCTTCTTCTTCTTCTTCTTCTTCGCTGCATTACCTCCAGAGTACAATCAAAGAATTGTAGTGTTCAGAGGGACCCCAAGAGTCATCTAGTCCAAGCCCCTGTGATGCAGGAATCTGAGCTAAAGCATCCATGAGAGATGGCCCTCCAGCCTCTGCTTAAAAACCTCCAGTGAGGGAGTCTGGTCCACTGTCAAACAGCTTTCGTTGTCAGAAAGATCTTGAGTAATCTCATGGAGACCAGGACAAGAAATTATAGAATAGTAGAGTTGGAAGGGACTCAAAGGTTCATCAAGTCCAACCCGCCGCAGCTAAGGAAATATTAATGGTTATGCTGGGGAAGTGAGTCATTCTT